GTAGCCGTATCATTTTTATATAATTTATCTAATTTATTTATATAGTTTTTTTTATGGATTATGCCAAAATGATCAAATCTTTCAAGTTGTCAAGTAGTTAATTTGGTCAGTATCTACCTTTTTTAATTCATTTTTTTAATTTATAAGAAGTATTACATAATAATATATACTATGTGTATATATATATTTATATAATCATATATAATATTTAAACTATATCAAATATTAAAATCAATTGAATATAATATAGTTGTATCAAATATTATAAATATTAAAATATTGTTATTAAAATGCTATAAATGTCAAATATTATATGATATAATTTTGCATCTGTTTATATAAAATATTAATTAATAAACAATAAATTGAATGTAATATAATTGTATTAGATGTTAAAATACATATTAAATAATATTAAAAATACTATACAGATTAAATATTACATAATACAAAATTAGGATTTTTTTTAAAAATAAAATAATTTCATATTATTTATAATTATGTTTAATATTACATTCATTTCTGCCTTTTCTACTCAGATTTGCAAGTGTTCAACTCAAATATCTTAATCAGAAATTAAATTCACAGTGGTCTTTTTTTATGTTATACAAGTTTCTAATTTTTGTGGTGTGAATAGCCTATTTTTATACTGCTCTGATACTTGTCAACCCAAATGTATTTATTTTTACCTTTATGCTTCTTGTAAGATGGTATACTTTTTTTTTTTTTTTTTTTCGTTTAGGGGATAAATGGATCAGAACTGTTGGATCCTGTACATTAGTAATGACTGCATGCTGTACTCAGGTGTAAGGTTAGTGAAAAAATCTCAAAGTTGAAAGTTAGAGACGTTTCAGTTGCTAGGCGACTAGTATGCTAATGAAGATGTTCCTCTCAAGCTGTGTCTGAGCTGTGCTGAGATATGTTTTAATCACTCTCAACGGGAAAAAAAATCAAACACATTCTGACGGAACACTGTAATTAATGGATCCGTAAAGAAATAGAGAGGTTCCATTACTTCTCACACTAAATTATCCTCAATTGTCAGGGCAGACACCTGAAGTCTGACAGCCCTGCGGAGATTAGCAAATGTGAAGTGGCAGTGCTGTGTTTATTCGCTTTGGCACACGGCCTCTCGACGCTTGGAGATGCCATGCACCGTAGAACGCTCCTTCATCAGGAGAGGTCCAGAGCCAAAACAGCCCCGTCAACCGTCTTGGGCTTTTAAATGCAACATGTAGACAAATGTGCTCAAAGCTCTGTGCCACCTCTGTTTGTTCTAATTCTCAATTAGTTAATATACTCTAAGAAGATTAAGAAGGGGAAGATGACAGAGCCAATGTCTTCACATACTGAATCTGCAGGGAGGCAGAAAGTGGATAGAGGGCTAAATTGAAGATTAGACTGCTCCTGAGTAGATTTGTGAAGCTCACAGTGAGCACTGAGCGAGACAGTGAGACGTAAGAGGAATCGTACACAAGCAGATAATTGATAGAAACTGAGCAGCTAATCCACAGAAAAAATATTTCGTAACCTTTGAAGCGAAAAATATTCAGATCAGAAGGAACTGTCAGAAAACAGAGACGTGGATAAACCATTTCTAAACTCTGTGGGAACTACTAAATGTGAAACCATGCTCCAATAGACCAATACTTCACAAATCCCAAACAAAAATTCATATTTGCTGTCATAGATGATCAGTGTTTGGGAACAGTATGAAGCTTGAAGAATCATGTCTAAGGGAAGAAGATTAGAGGAGATGAAAAAGAGAAAGAGAAAATTCATGACTTAATTTGGGAACGTTGATCATATTCTTAACAAATGTTCTCATGTAGTACATCTGGTTAACATTTATTACTTGTTACAGTTTACATACAGTTGCAACACTTATAATAGTTTATCTTTTCTATTTTTATCATTTTTATATTAATTTATATATATATATATATATATACTGTATATACATATAATTTTTATTTATATAAAATATTTAGTAATAATCAAAAATAGATCAATATATATAATGATTATATAATGTAATATCACTTTATTATTTTTTAGATATATTCTTAACATTTTCTATTAATAAAATAATGGTTACATTTCATTATAAAATAAGTACTACATTTGCCATATATTGTTTGATTTATTATACTAACATGTCAATCTGAGTATGAAGTTTTGTTACGGTGACCCTGAAATATCTGTTGTTCCTTACATTCTTCTCAGATACCTTTTGAGTTTGTACACACATCCTGCCTCATAACATCACTTCTTTTCATGAAGGACCTGTTGACCTCCTTCTCCAACGGATGTCCATGATCACCAAGAAAAATCAATAGCTTTTATATGTGAGCAATCCTGAAGTCTGATTCCATTTCTCACAGCCAGCACAGTAACTTGCTTTTTTCCCCTGTTCATCACAGGCATATTCGAATGTCTGTTTTCAGGCATTTTATGCAAAAAAAAAAAAAAACATCCAATTTTCCTGCCTGAGTGACAGCACAGAGTACTGATATGGTTTACCAGATCGCTCAGTTCATTTGTTCCAAAAAAAAAAAAGGTCCCACCAGTCGGGGGGGTGTAATTCAGCTGAAGAGTTTCCCGCTGTGTAGCTGCATACTGAAGTCTGCAGCTCCATCACCTGAGCCGGCCTGTCATCTCAACACGAGAAGTAATGATTAAAGCTATGAGGGCTCAATTTGAAAGAGGATGTAATGACTATGTTGCTGCATAGCCACGTCTCAACATTGTATAAGCCTCCATGTTTGGTTTACTTGGTCAGCAGCTGTTTGCTGAGGGCAGAGGAAGTTCCCATACAAAAACCTGCCATTGTACCCAAAGTTTGCTTAAAAATATCTAGTTACTAGTACCACTTACTATAATAAGTTACTAGTTGGTTGTTGAAGGTTGACTAGTTTTAGAATTTTTTTAAAAATTCGATTTAGATTTTCTATTGGATTTTTTTTATTATAGTTTTGATATGTCTAGAAGTGATGATTTAACACTAGAACTACCAAGGCAGTCATTTCGACCATTTTTAAATTTTAAAATGTAATAACTTTGTTGAAATAAAACCCATATAACTATAATATCCCGACTTTTCCTAAATGTGTGTATATTTTATTATAACATTGTTATTTTATTAAAATTCCAAAACACAAAAGAGTTCTGAGTATTTCTACCTTGAATGGCCAAAGCGGTCAAATTGACGGTACGCATTACAGACTGTAACTGCTGTCATTCAATCTGCCACAGTTCCAGGTAGGCTATAGGCTGGAAGACTATAGCCTGGCTGTTATCAATAATAGCCTACTTCAATGTTATGACAAAATAGCCATAATGATAATAATAATAATAATGGCTATTATTATTTTTATGTTAATGCTATAGCTAATGCATATAGGCTCATTTTAGCCCCAACAAGACTGATATTGTAAAATAAAACAAACGAATTAGGCTTTTTTAGCGACAGTAACAATGTTTATTATTACCTATAATGTTATCATAACAGATCCATTTATTCATGGATCACGATTCCAGTGGTGGCTGCATAGAATTGTTTCCAATTCGTCTGATCCATTCCAAACATTTCCAATAACTCCAGAGCGTTGTAAAGTATAAAAGTAAAAATGTATTGAAAAAAGATGTATGTAATAATTTCCAAAATTCAAAACATGTTTTATCTACAAAAATATTCTGCTTCGGCTCATATTTGTTGGCCTTTAGACTTTCAAATACAGCATTTTCACTGCGGTGAAAAACTTTTGCTCTCCCGCTTGCCGTACACAAAGCAAGACGCACACATTCGGTAGCGGTCTACATAGCTCTTACACAATTATATATTACAAAAAATATCGTATTTTTTAGGGGGATGACGTCATAAAATATGACAACAGACATTCAAAGCTTCATTGTAAAACTTCAAAAGAAGCTTAGAATGTAAATATGATATGACAAAAATTGCGTTCAGTTCAGTCTAGTATGAACGTTCAGTCTAGTATGAACGGTCAGAACGACCGCTATGGCCATTCTAGTAGTTATAGAATTGCGGTAGTTCTAGTGTTAACTTCACCTGTTACTGTAGCTCCTTCAGCTGACAAATCACATGGTAAAACCCTCTAGAAAAGTTGTTTTGAAATTCATCTTATAATAATACTTGAAGGAACAGTTCACCCCAAAATGAAAATTTGCTGAAAATGTACTCACCCTCAGGCCATCTGAGATGTAGATGAGTTTGTTTCTTCATCGGATCAGATTTCCAGTGGATCCTCTGCAGTGAATGGGTGCCGTCAGAATGAGAGTCCAAACAGCTGATAAAAACATCACAGTAATCCACAAGTAATCCGCACGACTCCAGTCCATCAATTAATGTCTTGTGAAGTAAAAAGTGTACGTGTTTGTAAGAAACAAATCCATCATTACGATGTCTTTAATGTCAAATGTCTCGTCTGAATCGGGAGTGAAATATGCACAGATATAAATATATCGGTGGATTTTGATGTGAATGGAAAACAGGAGCTTTTTCACTTGAGGAAACCTTATGGATTTAGGACTTATATTTTGGCCAGAAACAACGGTTTACAGTTAAATCACCTGGATCTGTTTCTTGCAAACACGCAGCTTTTCACTTTATAGTATGGTAACTGATAGACTGGAGTCATGGATTGGCACCCACTTTAGCTGCATCAGTTAAGGTTATAAATGTAAAACTGTGATAACAGGATCTCATAACTTGAACTGTGATCCTGTATTAATTTATGATTTTACAGTATCGACATAAAAACTGGCAGGAGCTACACTCACCATGGTATTTCTTTGTGAATATGTGTACATGCACTCTGTCTCACTCTCGCTTTCTGTCTCTTGGCACTGTTTATCTCTTAAAATATCTTTCATGCCATTTCGCTGTCTGTTTTTCAGGATTGCAGTCCATCTGTCAGTTGTACATCATCTGTTTGTGTCACTTTCTCATCATTCTCTCCACTGTGTTTTCTTTACAGTATGTCCAGTCCTCCAATTTGGCCAGGAAGTCCCTTTTACAGAAAAAACAAGGGAGTCCTGCTACAAGGTAGAGTGACGTGTCTTACCGTATTTACATGCTTTGAACCATTTTGTCCTTAATGTGTTGTTGGTTCCACTGACAAGTGCTCTTTAGTCATTTTTACCCGCATCAGTTCTACTACAAGGGATCTTGGTTTATTTGCACGCTCTTTAGATGAGCCTTTCCTTCAACAAAAGGCTCATATTCATGTATCTGGCTAGCTCCTAAAGGAATTAGCTGGGTTGGGTGTTTATTTGATTTGTTTGCCCTGGTTTAAAAAGAGCTGCTTCAAATCTGAGACTGTTTTTCCTCACGTCTTTTCAATGTGGTCTTTGGATCCTGCCAGCCTTTCAGTTGTTGCCTCTCTCTGTCTCATTCTGTAATCCTGAGAATTTTTTCTTTTTCAGTTCTGACGTGCAAATCCTTTTCCCTACTGTTGAACAAACTTGTTGAAGTGTGAAGTATTCAAAGGAAGCTAAATGGATAAAATGAAACAAAAGATTGACTGATGGTTGTTAATGTCCTGGCCAAAACTTTGAATGGTGTGGTATTGCAACACATTATTTTCATTTACTCTCTTTTTACAGAAAATGATATAATGTAATATATTGGAAATAAAATGAAAATGTTTAAAGTAACAGATAATATGCTGTTTTAGTATGTGAGAGTTCCACATATATAAATACTAAATTAATTAAACAATAATTTATTTAATTAAAGAAGAAAGATTTTTTTTCTCTTAAAACAGCTTTCATATGGCAACTTTACATTTTCTTGGATTTGCTTCTTTTGAAGTAATGGTATTTTATGACAAAAGAAATAATTTTTTAAGAAGCTATAATACAGTTTTCCAGGGTTCTTTTATTGATAGAAGAAAAAAAACAAACATTTGTTTGAAATAAAAATCTTTTGTATCAATACAAATCTATTTACAGTCACTTTTGATCAATTTAAAGCGTCCTTGCTGAGTAAAATGATTAATTTCTTTAAAAAAAAAAAAAAAAATCTTGAATGGTAGTCTATGAAGTAGTCTATAAAATATTCCACCATTAGACAATAATGTGTACCATACAGGGTTAATGCTTGTTGCATGCCAAAAAATGAATTTTGTACACAGAACCCTTTTAAAGTTAAATCTACGATAGCAAACCTTTTAAAACTAGACCTCGTGGCTGTTTCCTTGCTTATTTTAATAATGGCTGCAATGAAATGCCTTATTACACTCATTAGCCTCAGCAGGCAGAGGACTGGATGGGTTGTTGTGCACTTTTCCTCGGTATCTTGGTCCCAGCACTTGGAGAGTAAATGTTAACGATAACAGTTACAACGTTTATAGTTTATTTAGTCAATGCAAAGTAGCAGTAAGTAATGTTTTAAAGATAATAGACTTCCTATTTGTTACATGTGAATTTTGCTGCTTTTTATTGATAGAGATGGTGGGTAGAGGACAGGGAGTTATGCAAAATCAGAATCACATGGTTGGTTCATGAGCGCAAATCACAGTTTGGTCGCAGTTTGCGCTATTGAACCAATCCACCTCTTAACAGTTTTATCCAGTATAAGACCAATACCTACTGTGGCCCAATGATACAAGTGGTTGACTTATTGACATGCCCGGAAGCGGTTTTTTAGACACCTAAATGAATTTGCATTCAGTGCACCTAAGTGCACCAGTGCATCAGATCTATATTTAATTTGACTGGAAATTAATTCTCGACAAACTCTAAAGACATTGACCGATGGCTTGGTTTGTTTCACAGCGCTTGGTCCATCGTCCTGATATACTTGATATTCTTGTCCTGAAAAATTCCACATCCCTTAGTATGTGCTGGATCCCTCCACATGTATTTTTTTTTATGAGACTCACGCGTGTGAATCACAGTAATCAGAGATTTAATTAACCTGGTGGCATTTAAAGCGGCACACTAATGGAAGTGCGGTGCGAGAGATGTTATTATAAATATGTTTCCCATCCAAGGTGCAAGTGTGACACTCACGGCAGTCCAAAGCCCAGCAGACATCCACCTCCTACAGCAACACAGCAGAGCAACTCTAGTGGCTCACTCACAGCCTGATCATTACCTTGCTTTTTTTTTTTGTGTTTAGTTACATAAACCCCTGCACCATAATGAGTATCTGATGAATGCGAATGAGTGCCTAGTTATATATAGTCGGTTATATATCATCACCCTCTTAAACACGCTTATATGACAGAAAAAATCTCAACACACCCTCTCGAAGAGTGGCTTTTGAGCGCTGCATAGAGGTGCGGTGCAGGCAGCAACTTGCTCAAAATAATTGGCAGTTAGCTGTGTTTTGTAAACTCTTTTGTGGCTGTGACATTATCTGATGCATGGGGAGGTGACAGCGATACACCTGCAACGGCTGCCACATTTATAGGAGGGACATCTGCTGAACTCAGAAGTGCTAGCGCACACTAACGCACGTTCAGTTTGCACGTACTGCGCCCTGCACCATCCTTCTTTCTCAGATATGCCATTAAACATTAAAGTGAAGTTTTCTTCTGCTTGTCAAGGCCCTGGTTGTTGCATAGCTATTGAAACATCAATTAGATCTAAGATGCCAGCTTGATATAATTAGCCGTTTTAGAGGAGGCACATTTTTAAAAGGCAAATAAGTTATTAAGGCTAAATAATACTTTTTATGAAAAAGATGGATGTGAAATGGGTTCAAAGGCAGGAGAAGAAAGCGCAAGCCGGCTTCATTTCAGAGAAAACACTTCAAGAAGATTTTGCTTCTTGTTTTTCTAACAAAAGCTGACCGTGTGCTGTATGAGCATTGGAATGAATTGCTCTCAGTTTGTCTGCTAGCATTGGTGTCTCACTAAATAGTTGAGATGGCACAGAGCACTGGATTATGTCTCCGTGGATCTTGGGAATGACACTCCAGTCTGTGTGTGGAGATGATGTTTGAGGGAGTGACAGGCAAATGAGCTGTTTAGTATTTATACGGAACATGATTGACTTGCATCCTCAGATATCATTTGAAACTTCGTCTTATCACTCTAAAGTACAACGAGTCTAAAATATTTTGTTTTTTTGTGTTCTTATACTCTCTGAGATGAAGATTTGCAGTGAAGTCACTAGACGGACTAGCTGCAGGTCTTTTGACTATGGCTTGTATTGGTGACAGGTCGATCACTGGCACATTGTCAGTCATGGCAGCCCAGAAGACATTTAGTCTTCTTTGAAGTCTACTAGAAACTTCATAACTTGTCATAAATTGTGAGCGAGTGTGAACACATATAGGTGGCGTGTGTAGCCTAGTCGGTAAAGTCAGCTGGAATTTCCTTTTGCATCCCATTTTAAGTCCATAATGTGATGTATTTCTGGGTGAAGGATATTCCATGCAGGACCATCAGGAATTGATTGTATCCTAAGATAGGAAGTTTGATAAAACAAGACTACTTAGGCAAATAAATAAATAAACATACAAGAAATATTGATTTGTTATGCGAGAAGGTAATGGGAATTAAGAATCAAGTTATTTTTAATTTATTATAATTTAATATTTTACAATAGGACTGGGCTTTGACACAAATTTCACAATTTGATTTGATTATCCTTCACAAGCTTGCGATTCGATTCTGATTCGATTCAATATCGGTTATTTTGGATGTTCTCAAGGAAAAAAAAAAATATCTCAAATAATGCTGTAAAATACACCTGAGAGTCAATAATATGGAAATCACGGTTGAAATTTGCTGATTTGTATACAAACACTTAAAATATACTCCATAAAGTTTTTGTAATATTAAAGTTATAATAATGTAACTTCAACTTTAAATTGCATAATTATAGCCTATTTCTACTGCAATTCGTTTTTTGAAATATAAACATTTAAATGTTGGTTGTCACAAGAACTTAACGGATTTATTCAAACAAATTAAATAAATGTAAAAAAAAAAAAAAATGATAATGAATATGTTATATGGTGCACATTTAGCAAAATGCTCCTCTCTTTAGTTAATTTAGCATTATTCAGTCCTGAGATCTTGTTATAGCAAAAGCTTGTGGTAAATTGTGTAAAATGTGTATCCTGCACAATGGTGGTGTGTATTAACACAGTGACAAGTGGTCCATATCCAGCCCTCTTATTGGATTTTATAGGGCACCTATTATGCCCCTTTTTACAAGATGTAATATTAATCTTATGGCTCTCCTGAATGTGCATGTGAAGTTTCAGCTCAAAATACCATACAGATCGTTTATTATAATGTGTTGAAAAGTGTCAGTTTGGGGCGGGTCTAAAATGTGCTGTTTCAGGGCTGTGTTCCCTTACGTGAAAATGAGCTGCAACTTCCCACCCGACTCCAGAAGGGGGTGGAGCCTAGACGTCTCTGCTTTGCGTATGGCAATAAACAGAGAGGAGAAGCAAGGAC